GTACGCGAACCCTCTTCAGAAGAGCACCACATGTTTTTGCGTGATTTCAGCGTTTTCGAATTCGTTACTATTCACTCACGACGATCCCAATAAGAGATTACAACAATAATTTCAATACCGTAAACTCCACTAATCGTCCACCTCCCTAAGCTAGGAGCACCCCATTTCTACTCCACGTGCTGTTCCCAGTCAAATCTATTACCAGTAATCTCTGGCACGCACGAGTTTCTTTCTCTTCAATTTCTTCCTTTCAAAATCGGCACTATCTTCGCCGTTTTCTGAAGGCGTGCCCAACTTGTCCGCGTGCTGACACAAAAAATGTTATTTTCCCTGTAGAATTTACTAGGACTTCAGAGTTCGCTTTGCACTCAGCGGTCGTTTACGTAACATAACCATTTAAAAAATGGTGAACACCATCAACCTCCTTGCTCTTGCTCACCCATACTGCTAACATTTCGCGAGAATTTCGAAGCTGTACATTACGCGCGATCTAAGGAGTGCTAACTTCTCAACTAGAGCTCAGCGCAGCTAGATTCTCGTACATAGACTAGGCTGTATATATATAAACACTCATAGATATTCGTCCTGAGCAAAAAATTCCGATGATGAAAATTCAACTGCACGCAGATGTGCCATACACATAAGGCGGGTACCGACCTCAGCTATTATCTTGTTAACCAGATTCTTGTTACCATCCAAGCCTCTTTCCCGATCCTTAAAGTACCTAGTCGTAATTTTTTTTCGAAAAAATTTTGTTTTTTCTTTCGCTTTTTCAGTCATAGGACAATCACGTCACTTTGCGTAATAATCTGCACTCCACCCTTTAGGATTTTTTTGCAGCGGCTCGAAAGGATTCGGCAATCGTCTCAACTTGGGTATTCGTGGCGCTACTGTACCTATGAACTCCAGTGTGGGATAATATATGTTCGCTTTGCTCAGCTGAGCTTGGGAGTTTCCTCACTAGTTGTAGGAGTTTATATGCGAGATTAATGAGAATTTGCCGAAATTCTCTCAGAGTTTTCATATTGTGGTTGACCATACGCATACGTCGTGACGATAGTCATAGTAAACACGGCAATTCAATTCAGTCTAAATTACTCAACGTTTTAAACGGAAATTATAACACAATATAAACAGTTACTTCGAATACAGGCATGCTCACCTTTAGCTTCTTTAGCATGCACTAGAGGGCTCTTCCCTCGACGTTCCACTGCCTTCGGTCGGTAATAATGAGGCTTCAACTGTCTATCCTGTAGGGCCGGTACAGTATCTACTACCTCAACACTGCATACGGCTGAGCTCAACTACAACCACTACTACTACTACTACTACTACTCCTACTACTACTACTACTACTACTACTACTACCACTACTACTACTACTACTACTACTACTACTACTACTACTACTACTACTACTACTACTACAGCTCACTTCATCTCGATACCCTCGTTTCTAGCAACTCATCTAGCTCCTTATAGATGAGCCCAACGCCAAGCCTTTGGTCGGCATCACCTAATAGGACATCAGTCGAGTCTGAACTGATAGCGATAAAAGGCTTACTGGGAAATCGCCATCTTGGCGACAGACCTCCGGTTTGATATAACGCGGGGCCTTCTTTTTCACCTTCTGGTATTTCTTATTAACCCTACCAGCAAAACGCCGCACTGAAGTCCGATGAGTTATAAGCTCCCATGGTGAATTTCGGAGTAGTAGTAGGAGGACCATTTATACAAAAAAAATCTTATCAACTTTGCGCATATTCCTCAACGTTTTAACGCGTGCAAAAACGTCGTATCTTTGGAAAATTTTTCTCGGGTATAATCGTCGTGAATATTTCCGCACGGAGAGTTATTTCATTTATCCATCATGTCTGTATGATTCGCCCTCATACAAAACCCTTTGGAACAGGTAAACGTATACGCTCGGCTGCATTACACAGTATCGCCATTTCCCTCAGTTCAACAGCCTGAGACGGCTCGACAGAGGCAAGCTAAACAGGTGCCCGTAAGGGGCGTTCGAAATGCAATTCCTCAAGCTTATAATCGATTCTAGAACTACCTCTGAGTTTAAAAATTGAATTACTGAGCATCTTGATACGCATTAGCACATAAACGTTGAAGGGCCTTTTCAGGCATTGTACCGATTGGACCAGCACGCAGACACTCTAAGCATAGCGCGGTTCCGCGAGACTAGTCGCGAGCAGAGGTGTCACTCGAACGGTCTGAGGTCCCACAACCACTCCATTTTCATCTCAGAGGGAATGCGTGGCAAATTGAGTTTGGATATATACAGCGAGAAACTCCTGATCAGCCTCAAACTGCTCGAGAGCTGAGATCAGCAGATCGCGATATAAACCTTACTCTACCGAACATTCGAAGCAGTCGCATGTCGAATGCGCGACTTTCAAACCGACTCTCGTAAGGCTGCTGCATCGCTTTGGCGTTATTCGTGCAAACTACCCTCGACGAATTCTGTTTGTCGCGATGAATAGAAAAAATTGACAACTTTTCCAAGAGTGAGCCGTTAGGGAATCCGACCAGTATGAATATGATGATATATGGAAATTCTGAGAAAATTTCGGGAAAAAATCTTGCTGGTTTCCGAACACTTCTAACCGAATTTCTATAATTAGCGAGGAAACTTCTTAACTCAGCTGAGGAGACCAGACATATATTCCGGCACTGATTCGGATATAGCTGAGGAGTTTCTACTCGTTCGTTCGACTATTCAGTTCAGCTTTGATGGCTCTGTTGAAGTAACCGACTCGCAATAAAGTTTATATCATCACTCGTATGTGTTGGAATCACATAGTCTCAGTAGGTCTCTCGATCAACGTACATCGTTAAAGCCATCGATAAACTGAGTTAATCAATTCATTGGAGTTTTACCCTAGTGATATGAGAAAAACTAGTGAAAGACATATTTCACGACCACTGCATATCATCGCGAATATCGCATTTTTCATCGAGTTTTGCGTCACTTCAAAAACAGTAAAACAGGTGAAACTCCATTATTAATCAATTAGTTCACTGGAGTCTCACCCGTTTTACGTGAAGTGCCGAAATACTCTGTGAAAAACCCGGTACTCGCGGTTATATGCAGTAGTCGCGAGATATGTTTCTCATCTCACTAGGGTGAAACTCCATCCAACAATTTATTTATCGTAGTGATATAAGCCTTGTACCGACAGTATCATCGAATCACCGTTCATGCGATTGTATTTATCTACTTCAGAGTGCCTCGACCGTTCCAAGAAGGCAAATTCGAGGGTCGGCGCAGGTCAGTTCTCAGAAAGCTTTGCTCGAGTAGCAATATTATTCTCTCGAGATATCGCATATCAAAGTTCGACTTCGGTCAATCTAAAGAGCGCAGGAAGAAAA